CCCCCCCCCCCAATAAAAAAAATGAAATGTAAAAGGCTGTGTGGTGGACAGAATTAGAATTGATTTTCAAATGGACAATTGAAAGAGTAAGAATAAAAATTAAGGTTCTAAGTCACATTCCGCGTATTAAACTCATGAAGACTCCACCTGAATTGCGTAGCAATCCCCAAACCGCGTTGCAACTTCTGTATAAAATGCTGTATGATACATTATCATCTATATAAATATATATATATATATTACCTTATTACCTAACCTACACCTTTGAAACTTTGCAAGTGTCAACACCATCCGTGCACACTATTTCCACACCTTTGGAATTCTGGAGTGTACAAACACGAAAGCGGAATCGAGAATCAATCTATACATCTATTATATATTTGGCAACTTGGAAACACGTGTGCCACTTTTCTCTCAAAATTCATTGCTCCAATTCCAGTAGAGTGTAAATGTAGCGGGGCCAATGACTTCCAGTTGATGTTAATGCTCCGATCATTCCTTTCATCGAAAAGGGGGCCAGCCAGTTATGTATAATGCTTCACATTTCGGTGAACTCTAATGCCTGCTCATTGCAAACTTAGTTTCTCTATGATAGAAATGACTAAATAAGCGCGGATCACCCCGTTCTTGTTTTAGTTTTTAGCTGCTTTTTATTTATCTATTTTACGTATCTATTTATTTATATGTTTATCTGTTTTATGTATCTATGTATTCATTTATTTGTGTATCTTTGTATGTATTTATGTAATTGTATTTATTTAGGCTATTCATTAATTATTTTTTATTCATTCATTCATTCATTCATTCATTCATTTATTTATTTATGTATTTATTATTTATATATTAACATGTATTTTTATTCATTCATTCATTCATTTATTAATTAATTCATTCATTCATTCATGTATTCATTTTTTTTTCAATTATTTATTTATTTATTTATTGAGGTTGAGACTTTGGGGCAGTCTGTCCTGAGCACGAACAACGGCACGTGGTACTATGACTTCAGCAACAAGCGGGCCAGGTTTGACCACGGCCAGGGACAGACCAACAACTTCTGTGGAGGACAGGGACTTAGTCCCAAAGACCCCAAGTAAGGAGGGGTTTGCTTGTTTTGTTTTTTTGTCGTTTGTTTGTTCTTGTTCGGCTGTTTTTTTTTGTTGTTTTTGGGGGGGGGGTATTGGGAGGAGGGGTTAGAGTGAGGGGAGAAAAGAGAGGGTATTTGTTTTTTTG